GCAAAGAATGAAAAAAATAATGAAAAAATAAAAGATAAAAATAAAAAATAAAAATATAATTTTCAAATAAAAATCTTTACAAAATAAATTCATTAATTCTACTAAACTATTGGAGAATTTTCATGGATTTAATTTTTAAAATAGAATTTACTAAACTATTGAGAAATTCCATGAATCATTCTAAAAAAATAAATAAAAAAAATAATTTATCCTCCAAATGATTGGAGGATTGATTCCTAAATTAAGTCTTACCAAACTATTTGAAAACTTAATGAATTTTCTAAAATAAAATTTTTATAAATATTTTACAATAAAATTTCATCAAACTATGGAGAGATTTGCTTCAAAGTAGGTCTTACCAAACTATTGAGAGACTTTACTAATTTTTTAGAATAAAATACTTTAATAAAATCTATGATGGAGCATTTTCAAAGTGAGACACTAGTCTCCATGAATACTCTTGAGGTGAAAGAATTATCTTAAATTGCTATCAAACTATTGAGACAATTTTAAGACTAATTTTTAATATTAAATAATTCTATAAAATTACAAATATGATTAAGGCGTAGATAATCTGAAATCAAACTAGTACTATCTTTTGGATATGCGCTATGGGGGTATTATAATTTTTCTTACACGTAATTGCATTCTCAAGCCTAACTCTAGTTTTGTAGATCAGAATATGCTATTTAAATATACCTAAATCAATATTGAAATTTCTCTTTAAATATGACATATTCAATTAGGTGATCAATTACATTTAAATAAAAAAATTTGATAATAACTTTTTTAATCTATATCTAACTATAAGTTCACGAATTTATATACGTTATGACATTTAATATAACTCCTTTTTTTTTTTTCATGTCACTTTGAACAAGTTCTAACAGCATAATTGGTTTGATGGAATTGGAATTTCACTTCAGCTATTTTTCTTGTGACTTTTCCATTCCATAGTTTGGCTCAATTTTTTAATAAAGAATAGCTATTCCATGAAATGGCGATTCCTTAAAAAAAAAGGAATAGTTATTCTTTATTTTTTTTTTATAAGAATTGCAATTCCTGGTTCATAGAAATTGAGAGTAATATTTATTGAATAATTTTGTCTTAATAAATTTAATTAATTCTAATTTTTTCATATATTTCATTGAATATAATTGTTATGATAAGTTAATAATATTTTATATCATTAATAAAATAATAGTAATTATAAAATTTAATTCGATAATTAATTAATTTAATTAAATAATTTACAAAATAATAGTAGAATATTATTAGATTAATTACATATTATTAAAATTTAATTAAATAATATTAAGATAATACTAAATTAATTAAAATATTTACATTATATTAAAATTAATTAAATAATACTATAAAATATTAAATTTATTTTAATATGAAATTTATATTAAATTAAGTAAATAATATTCAATATGATTAAATTAATTAATTGATATTAAAATAAGATTAAAATTATCTGAATAATATTTATGTTACATTAAATTTAATTAAATAATATTAAATTAAATTAAATTAATTAAATTAAATTCAAATATTATCAAATGAAATAAATATTATTAAAATATTAATAAATTCATTAAATAATATTAAAATTATAAGAAAATTAATTAAATTATATGGTAATAAGAAATTAATAATATAACTTTTAATTAATTAGTATTAAAATAATAATTAATTAATGAATTAACATTTAAAATAAATTAAATAATTCTATATTTAATTGATTAATACTAAATTAATATAAAATTAATGAAATATTATTAAAGTTATATTATTTAACTATTAATTAATTAAATGATACTAAATAATTATAAAAATTATTAAATTAATTACATAATATAAAAAAGTTCGTTTATTATTAATTAATAAAAAATTAAAATAACTTAAAATATTATTAACTAAATTAAATGATATTGAAATATGATTAAAGTAATGACATAATATTATAATATTATGAAAAAAAGCTTATTAAATTAATTACATAATATTATTATTATATTATTATTAAATTACTTAAATATTATTAAAATAATTTGAAAATATGATTAAATTATTAAATAACATTAAAATATTATAATTTAATGATATAATACCAAAATAATATTAAACTATTATTTATAATTATTAAATTAATATTTCAAATTTTTATTAATGTTCAATATTATCAAATTAATATGTAATTTCTTTATATTAATGTTTAATATTTTTCAATAATATTTAATATTATTAATTAATATTAATTAATAAAATTATTAGTATTTACTATCATTAATTTAATATTAATTAATATTTAATCATGATATTAAATTGTTATTAATTAATTATTTATTTTTATTAATTAATAATTTCAATAATAAATTATAAAGGGTAAAATAGTTTTTTAAATTTATTCCATTCATATTCTTTGAATTAAGAAAACATATTAATACTATTTTTTTTCTATTCCATTATAATAAATCAAACTTTATAATAATCCTTCACTATCTGTTGCGGGTCGAGTACTTCTTCTTCTCCTTCTTCTACTTCTTCAAACTCCAAAAACTCCGGTTCGTCTTTTTCATAGAGAAATCTCTGATCAACGATAGAAGATAATCCATTTTGCATCATTAATAAATTAATAGTCGTAATTTACGAGGGTCGTTCTAGTCATACACAAAATCTTTGATTAATAATAAGATAAATAAATTAGACTCACCAAAGCACGTAAGTCAGGATTTTTCATAAAATGGATTCCTATTCGAAGAATGCATAACCTCATGAATCATTGTCTAAAGCGAAATTTTGTAACACATTAGGGCATCTCATCAATAAGCTGACATGGGCCAATTCCTCCGATTCTGATATTATTGACCGATTTGTGCATACATGTAGAAATCTTTCTCTTTATCACAGTGAATCTTAAAAAAAAAAAAGGTTTGTATCAAATAAAATATATACTTCGGCTTTAGAAAAAAAATGATAAATCTAGATACGATCCTAGATGTATATTTTACATTTGATATTGGTTGACATGTATTATATTATATTCCACCTATTTTCTATACAATTCTATACCCTTTTACTCTATTCCTCTAACTACAATGTGCCATAGATGTTTTCTAGAATTTATCCCCCTATGAAAAAGTATTTGTAAAGTTCGAAGGACAATTTAGAATAGTCATTCTTACAGTATGAATATATATTTCTAGTTGTACCAAATAAAAAAAATTGAAAAATTATAACCGAAAATCGTTATTTTAATATATTGTGGATTGATGCAGGTATATGTTTCTTCTAAGTAAATTACTGAAAACACTTCTTTCATTAATAAAATAAAACTACAATTAGATTCACGTTTTATTGCGAGATTATTTTTTTAATTTTTTAAATTATATTTTAAATATGAGAAAAGTAAAATTTTTATATCAAAATTTAATGGATGATAATATATAAATAAATATAAGTGTAATTATTTTTTAATATAAATTATAACTTAATTATATATAAATATATTTTTTATTTATTAAGATATTAACTAATATTTTTATTAATATAATACATATATAAATTAAACAAATAATAAAATATATTTTTATACATCCTAATGAAGGTTGAGATAGAATAGTTTAAACTTGATCTCGATTCGATACAAATTGCTCAAAAAAATAAAACTTAACTCAACTTTTTTTTTTAAATCGCATTGATTTGATCAAAACGAATCAAAACTTATCGAATATTAGTTGTTTTATTATCCTTACATCCATTGATTTTTTTTTTTAAATTTATCTAATAACAAAGTTTATAAAATAAAAAAATGATAAAAATAAAGAAGCTAAATGAGGTAGCACGTGAATTTATTAAATTAAAATATTAAAAAAATATTTTTTAATAAAATACACAAATATATAATTAAATAAAACCTTACTTTTACTTGAATTTGATTTAAAAGAGAAAAAAACTCAACTTAATTATCCTAAATTCAAAAAAAAAAAAATCACACCAATTGGATCGATATAAATTGAAATCTTTTGAATTCAAATTGTTTTGTTATCTTTATCTCAATTGATTTTTTTGTTACAAATTTTTAATAAAAAATAAGTTATATTTAAAAAATAAAAAAAACTTAAAAAAAAAAAAAAAAATGAAAAATAAAAACTAAAGAAGATAGGTGCCACTTAGATATTGAAACGGAATGAAACACTTTAAATCCATCTTCAACTAAACTTTACTTTTTTAAAAAAACTTCAACCTAATTTCAATTCTTTTAAAAAATGCGTTTATGTTGAATGGATATGAATTAAAATAAATCAAATAGGATTATTTTATTATCCTATCCTTGATTTTTTTATAAAATTTATCTAATAAATAAAATAAAATTTAAAAAACTGAATAAAAAGGTTAAAAAATATAATACAAAAAACAAAAAATAAAAGTAAAATGTAGACTTTTGAAAAAATAATGAGGCTCCAAGTGAATACTCTCTCTTTCCTCTAAAATATGCAAATTCAACATAATAAAAAGATTGATAATTAATAAAATATATTTTTATATATATCTAGAACGAGATGAATTATCTTAAACCCCCTTATGATCCAATCCTGATTAAAATAAAAAAGTTTTTTTGATTGGATCTCAAATTTTAAAAAGGCACTTAATCATTGAATTAAGATAAATCAAAACTCATCGAATACAAATTGTTTTATCATTATCTTCATTGATTTTTTTTTTTTTTTACAAAATATATCTAATTAAAAAGTTAAAAGTTAAAAACCCAAAAATTAAAGAGTAGCAATAGAATTAAAAAAATAAAAAAAGGAATGATGGTATTAAAAAAATAAAGTGAAAAAACAAAAAAAAATAAAAAAACCAATTAAAAACAAAAACCAGAAACCTAATAAAAACACAAAAAAAAAAAAGGTGGGGGGGGGGGGGGGGGAAGAGATGTCACGGGGACACCCTCCCACACTCAAGTTTCTGCAAAATTAAGTAGTAGATCTGCCAAGATTTGAATACAACTAATAACTTTCTGCACCAAAAAAATAAAACCTTTAATATGGACTTAGCAAATTGTAATCACTTTGCTCTCGGCTCATCCTTAACTCTGGAAACAAGGGATTTTGACTGCATTGTTTATTAAAACGCTAAGACAGAAACAAATCACAGATCTCTAAATTACAAGTAAAAATTTTGATGAAAGACCTGATTAAATAGGACATACACAATTCTTCATTAGTTTTCCTTGGTACCAAAAGCAATAAAATTTACACTAATATCGTCTGATAGAGACCACCTCCCAGTTAAGGGGTTGTAAACAAATCCGGCCATCTCTTTTACCTATGCAGCCAACCATAAAGTAGCACAGAGGTTAGTCATACCAACAGGAAGAGTTCAGTTTCAGATATCAAAGGAATTAACTGGTTTGCTTACATCAATGGATGCACGCTTTAAAATCATGGTAAGTTCTTCTGGGGTAAGGAAACTTGACCATTGGTGCGTGCCTTTAGGAAGCTGCGTAAATCAAGAGTCACATATTATGAACATATAAATAGCAACTATGATAAAAAAAAAACATCTAACAACTGCCTGTGCTTGAAAAATTATAGAAGAATGGTCTATAATTTTGGAGGTAACAGGTTTGTCATGCTTGTTCCAGGGCAGTGGCCAAATATGCATTTATATGTAAGTTTCTTCTTATATTTTGAGCTGTTTCAGCGCAAGGTCTATAACATGCTTTGCAAGGCAACAAATTCAGTTCTAAATCTATTTCATTGGAAATTTAAACTTGTAACATTGTTTAGCCATAATTTTGAACCAATATTCGATGTTTTGCATATGATAAAACAAATAATAGATGTGAAAACACATGACAATAAGAACTCAATTAGATTAGTTTTCAGACATGTGATGCATGAAAAGCAAGTCCTAGAATTAACAGTTAAATCTCTAGAAGGTGTTTGAATAAAACACATACATAATTACATATGAAGTAGAAAAAAAAATAGTGAAGTGCTGTATTTAAAGAGAAGATAGCAGAATCATACCCACTGGAGCAGGTACTCGGCTGCAACAATGGCAGTTGCATATGATCTCATAGAGCGGTTAATTGTTGAAACCACAGAAGCCCCATCCTGAACAGTTAATGCAGCGAGAGACTTGCAGAATTGAGCAGGATCTGCTACGTGCTCAATCACCTTAAGTAAAAGTTATTGATTTCCCAGAAAAATGGACACGATTTTACCACAACAAAAAGTGTAAAAAGAATGAGTGAAAATATTTTATGAAATGCTAAACAACATGAATAGACCATAAAATTGCTCTTTAGCAATAGTGAGTGCACCATGAATATGTCACCATAAAGAACTGTAGAAGATCATAAAAACAGCATTCCTCCAACAATCTGTAGAGGAGAGAGAGAGAGAGCCATAGTTGGCCAGAGAGAGCATACCTCTAAAGCAATCACTGCATCAAACTGTCTCTGTTCATCAACCAGCTTTTCTGTTCATGAGAATGTATCCACATAAGCTATCATTAAAAATACACACCAAAACAAACATCATAAATGGACAGAAATGAGGAACTAGCAATAACTATGATTGTTATAAATAATCATAACTAATTTTTCTGTTTATGAGAATATATCCACATAAGCTATCATTATAAACACAAACCAAACAAACTCATAAATGGATAGAAATGAGGAACTAGCAAAAACTATGATTGTTATAAATAATCATAACTAATTCAAATCAGCCATGTCATGCAGTGTGTAATAATATGACAAGGTTATCATTTATCAAAGTTTATCAGTCAAAATTATAATCTGCAAGCATTTATAACAATCAAAGTACATGTGGCCATCACATACATCCAGAGACAATGGTTACAACTTCAATTGTCTTAAATATCTTTCATTGATTCAAAAAAGGAGCTGTCAAAGATTACAATTGACCATGTAGCTGAGTAGCTATATCTATAGCTTTCACACTCCGATAAGTGAAAAAAGCAGAAGAGATCACATTGGATAGAATACTAACCCCAGGAAATCTAAGGTTCACCACAAACAGAAGAAATCTATTATAGTTATGATATATTTGAGTAAAAAACTCAGCTACAGCAATTCAGATAGCGTTTCTCATTGAAAAATTTTCCAGGTTATTGGCTCATGAAAATCAACGAAGAAACATCAAGTTCCTAGTAAAGGGCTACTTACACCTAAGCGAAGAGAAATGCACATATGGCAGTTCTACCATGAAGAGTTTATTTCCAAGAGAACTACTATTACATTTGGCTACATTTTCACATTGAAATTTCAACCTGATTGCAGTGTCAGAAGGGGCAAGCCAACAAGGACTTTGTCCCCCCACTCCCACTCATCCAGAAATGTCACTATCTTAAAGATTTAAAACACTTACAAAACAGAGAAGCAATGCTCGTTTCAACTCATTATAGATCTAGGATTACCAGAAAGATTAACCTATGGAGGAAGAATTCAGATTAGAATGTACCTGCTGTTGTACAATCGTACTCAATAGTTGATGTTGTTGGATCCAAATCCTGTACAAACAGGTACATCATAAAATTCAAGTTCAGGTCTATAACACAATAACCATGAATGAGAGATACAGGCAGTTAACCAATGTAAACTTTAAACTTGTAATTTGGTGTTATAGTATTTAGACACAGGAGATTCATCTTTAATCAAATTGGTAGCAGGAACCAAATAGCTATAATTGAAAAACAATTTGAATTTGGGAAACACAGTAACAAGAAATAATCAACAAAATTATGAGAATATAAATCAAAATATTTATGGAATTAAACCTTAACAAAAGTCACCCTCCGCTTGCTTACCAAGGAAATAACATTTCTAAGAGAGAAGCTTTTTGTAAAACGTTCCAGTAATAGATTCAGATATGTATTTGACAAGAAAATAAATAAATGAATGATAGGAAGGAATCAAAGACAGAGATAGGAAAAGTAGGAAATCATGAATTTGTTTAGGATAATTTAATAACAATGCAAATAATTGAGAAAATATTTCAGACATGTATACAAGCCAGAATGACTTGACTATTGAGTCTAAATCTGTCACTTCAAGTCTTGAAAACTTCTTTACATGAAAAATGCTTAACGTATATCCAATCATCAACCTAACTAGCTTGTTGTGCCAAAGTAGAACTGGGTAAGAGCTTTCCTTTTCAAGAAATTTTCATACAAGAAGTTATGCTTGATAGAATAACACACAATCCAATTTGACCATAGTCTTTATAAAATACAAGCTATAGTTTCAAAGACAAAAGGTAAGTAAAAAGCCTTGACAACACATAGTATCTTCAAAACTGAATTCCTAAAACAGAATTATCATCACATAAGCAATGACAATCTATTTGTTTTCATTCAAACCCAAGTGCAGTTATTACTAAAATCAGCCAAGATGTAGAAATGCTGGAGTTCACTTGAATATAGGAAATAATGCTGCAAAAACTGGAACATATTCTACTGATAGAAAATTATGGAAGCTTAAAATTCAAAAACTATCACTATCTCCAAATCATGAGAATAACTGAAAAGAGAAGATAGCATACAGCATGAAGACGGGCAATCTTGATGTTTTTCTCTACAGCATCAATTCCAGTGACAATTGCTCCCATTCGAGCCAAGGGCTGAGAGGAAAAAGAAAATAAAAAATACCAGCAAAATAGCAAATCTGGCTTGAACAGTTTGTATCAATGTCTAATGGATGAAGAAAAAAAAAAAAAAGCATATGTGGAATGAGGAAGAATAACATCCATTGACAAATATATATGGTTAGTTTCCTACATAGATTCTTGATGTTTTTGTAAAAAGATGGAGCTATCTGCAATTCTGCACAAACCTCTCAAAAGAATGATAAACTTAAAGGAAAACAGGAAAAGCATTGCAAATCACTCTTTCTTCCACCTTAACAGCGTCAAATAAAAAATAATAGCAGGAAACAGAATAGTCTCCTCTGATAACACCTGACGATGCGTGGTAGACTTCCACAGTCCTCTTTCTTGTTTCCATATTTCCCACAACACAAATAAGAAACTTCACTAAAAAAAAAGGACAATAAGCTCTCAATCTTTTATCACACAAAATTAAAACTATGGACTTTTGTTTTATTACAACCAGAACTTTGACATGATGAAATAATTCCATATTTAGTTAAAACTTTCTTACTTGAATGATGTAATCTATACAAAATGATTACTTTGACTTATTTGGATGAATTCACTGACAAATAAGGGAATGCTATTTTAGTAATTCTAATAATCGGACTTTATTCCCCCATTTTTAGATTTAACGGGTATAATTACATTGAAATAAAAGTTTAATGCCTTAATTCCATACAATAAAAGATCAAAGGCTTATTTTCATCTCTTAGTAAAGTTCAAGGGCTTATTTGGTATTATCCCTCCCTTTTTTTTCCTCATTTATAATTTTGTCCATCTGAACCACAGCTTTCTATGCATAATCACTTATATAAGCCCATTTATCATCTCCCTATATGTAAGATCTTCCTAAATTTAAGGTCCTTCTTCACTTCAAGCTAATCACTCTGAGATCAAGCTTCAAAGTTGAGAATGTAAAGAGAAAGAGCCTTTCTACAAGCACCAGTAACTTAATGATATCTGGTAGTCCTACTTCCTAGAGTCCTAAAATCATTATTTATTTATTTTTTTTAGATGTGAGTAGCATTTTCTTCCTCAACTGTTTACCTTTGATACTAGAATTATTCACAGATTCTTATAATCCAATGCCTCTGGCATTTAAGTAGTAACAACATGACAAGGAACACAACTTGCAGGCCCTTGTTTCGCCAACTTGTTAATATCCTGGTTGTTAGTGGCATGGTGACCGACCCATATTTGACCATCACAACCTTATTTTCTACCATGACCAATTGACAAAGCCACTACTCTCTGCGCAAGTACTAGTTTGACTCATCATCAATACTTGACCAATGGGAAGTAGACATATAGATAAACCCCATATTACCATATTATTGTAGGTTATGTTAACTGATTCTTCCACAGATTTCCTAAAAACTGGCTTGCCAATTAATGGAAGTAATGTAAAATGGGAAATGCTTAAAGGGGATTGATTGGTTGCAGTAAGCAATCAAGAATTTGAGAATACAAAAAACGGAGACTTGAAGTCCATCCAATATCTCCTACCAAACAATATTTTCAAGCAATATTAAGTAACACTAAGATGTCATTTACCCAGAATGTCATTTGCAATAAGCTGTTTATGTGACTCCTGGTTGGAGCTTTTGAGTGAACAAAGCAGGGTCTAACTAGAAATTGGTGCAATGCCAGACTAAATAATTTTACATATAAAAAAAAATTCCAGTGGCAGGCATGCATAAATACCTCTGAAAGAATACCACCACCGCAACCAACATCAATAATCCTTAGTCCTTCAAAAGGCCTAGCACAGAGAGGATCCTTTCTACAATGACGAGCAATCATCATATAAGCGATATATGAGAGAAATAAACGCAACTAGAGCTTAAAATGAAAAAAGTCCGAAAATGAGATATCAAAATTGATGACATAATAAACTAACAAATCAGTATTTCCAGGAACCAAATAAGCCATCTTAAACAAAGTCAGCTGGTAAATTCTTCTAGTGTTTCTGAAACAAAGGGAGACATACCCGAAGTGTCGACAAAGAGTAGAGCGGATGAAAGCTAGCCTGGTAGGATTCATTTTATGCAATGGTTTAAATGGTCCCTCAGAATCCCACCTGCAAATGATAAAATGCTCAAATTAAGTGTTTCAAATTTTTTATCGAATTGAATTAAAAAATCCCATTTTTTACAGACCAAGTATCGGCAATGGCAGAGAACTTGGCGAGTTCGGGTTCCTTCAAAGAAGAGGGAGTTGAAGAAGCCTTGTTGAACATGTTGTTATATTTGGGGTCAATATTGATTTGAGGTTCAGAAACATCAGAGAAAAGCCTGAAATTGGAAAGATTTCTCGGAAGGAATCGGAACCACCGAAGTTGGCTAAGGAGCTTTAAAGAAGACATTAGAAATTATGCTCAAGATTTGGAGAGTTGAACAAGAGGTTTTGCAAGCAGCGATGCCCAAGACAGGTTTAATTGCCTTCGTTATAGATCTGAATGGGCTGCAGAAGGTTGAGCTCTTCCAAAAAAATCCTACTCGACTTTTTGATCTCGTGGGCTGGCCGACATCAAACTGCTGGGATCAGCGCTGAAGTTTATCTATTGAAAAAAAAAAAAAAAAAGCTTTGATGTACATTAACAGGGTTAAATATATATTTAGCCCATGAGTTTTATATTTTTTGTCACATTTATATTTAAAGAATTATATAACTATATTGGTGCATGAATTTTTATTTTATTATCAAGTTGATACCTATGATTGATGTCGTTAATTAATTTTGATAATATGATATCAACATCTAATAAGATATCGATATATTTTAAAAAAAATTCGTTACATTACCGATGTCATGTTAACATAAAAAAATTTTAAAAACTTCTAAAAAAATTTAAAACAATTCTAAAAAATTTAAAAAAATTTAAAATTTTTTATTAAAAATTTTGAAATATTCAAAAAATTTTATATTATTTTTAAAATGAAAAAATTCAAAAAAAAATTAAAATTTTAAAACAATAAGTTTTCTCAAAGTTGAAAAAAATCATAAAAACCTAAAAAATTGACAACAAGAAAAAACTCTAAAAACTTTTAAAATTTTTTAAAAAATTACATAATTTCAAATTTTTGAAATTTCTTTAAAATTAACAAAATCTAAAAATTAAAAATTTAATAAAGATCCAAAAATTTTTCAAAATAGTTTAAAAAATAATTTTAAAAATTATTATATTTGTTCGAAAAATTTTTTGATTTTAGTTTTTTTAAGTTTTTGTTAATTTTTTTAATTTTAACAAATTTCTAAATTTTATTAAAATGTCAATTTTTTATTTCTTTAAATTTTTTTAACTTGGAAAATTTTTAAGTTTCCTTAATTCTTTTTGAATTTTTTAAAATTTTTCTAAAATTTTAAAAATTTTTAAAACTTTTTTTAAATTACTTTAGAAATTTTGAAATTTTTTTAGAATTTTTAAAAGATTTTTTGGATTTTTTTATTATTTTTTAAAAATTTTGGAATTTTTTTAAAATTTTTAGTATTTTTTATATTCTATTTTGAATTTTTAACTTTTTTGAAAGTTTTTAAAAATTTTTAAAAATTATTTTAGAATTTTTGAGATTTTTTTAAAATTTTTTAGAATTTTTAAATTTTTCTTTAAAATTTTTTCTAAAATTTTCTTTTAATAATGTCGTGGCATCGATGCTGTGTCACTGACTGAATTTTTTTTATATGTATCAACATCTTATTGGATATTTATATTGTATTAGTAAAGTTGATGAACAGCGTTAATCCAAGGTACTAATATAATAACAGATTTAAAAGTTTATGTATCAATATGATAATATGATTTTTTAAATACTAATGTGACAAAAAATATAAAATTCATGGATCAAATATATAATCAATTCAATAAAAAGTGATATACTTTCCTTAACATCATATTCCTGTCATAAAAAAAAAAAACAATCTTTACAACTAACATTAACGAACCAGCAATCATATAATTTATTAATAAATTATTGAATTTTTAATTGTAATGATCAATAATTTTAATAAATAGAATTTCATCCCAACAATTTTAAATAAAAACAACACTAACAAACAATTTTCATCAAAAAGTTAATGATAAGTTAGCCAATTAATGAAAAGGTGGCCTCATTAATCACTATACAAAAAAGATGATTACCACTTCAAAAAAATTACTTTAAACACGTATCCCAAGATATATTAACAGTATCTTAAAATTTGCGGTTTTATATTTGAATCTTAATGTATGTAAATTTGATTATTTAATTATATTTTAATTTGTTTTAATTATTAAGTTTGATGATTTATTATCTAAAAATATATTATATAAAAATATAATAATTAATTATGATTGTAAATTCTTTTCTCCTTATGATATAATTTCAAACAGATATGTTAATAGTGTTGAAAATGATGACAATCCATGTTTTATTTATTTATTTATTTCATCACTTTCCCAAGGTTATTACGTTACCTTATAAAATAATTTTGTAACTCAGCCACCGCCATATGTTAGGAAAATAAACAAACTTCCATGAGCTTTTTCACCAAAAATGAAATGTTAGAATGATTGGGATATAGGTAATTCGACAGTTCTGCACTGGATTTTGATTTTGGATTCAAATTATTTTTAGATTCGGATAATATCATATTTTCACATATTCTGGTTTTAAATTCAGTTTGTTTCAAGTTTGATATATTACATGTTAATCATAAATTTGATTTTTTTGAGTTAAAGTTTGGGAATTTACATGTTTTAGATCAAATCATTTATATATATATATATATAATATTATGTTATATTATAACATATATAGTTATCAAATAATATTTATTGACATAGACTTTTATATAGACAGTTTTTTTTTCACGTAAAATAATTTTTTAAACTTATCATTATGATGATACATAATATATTTATTAATTTTAAATTATTTATAAAAATATATTTTAAAAATTATTAAATTATCTAAAATTTTAAAATTTAATTAAAAACTAATTTAAATTCTAATGAAATTTCTTTCTCCTCGATATCACTTTATCTCAATTTAAAATCAATTTTAAAGTAATTTATTTTTTTCAATTTATTTGCACTTAACATGATTATTTAAATTTATCAAAACTTTTAAAAATATTATTTAATATTTTTTATAAATAATTCTTACATTATTTTCAATTTTTAAATATGTCAGTTATAAATAATGATAATTTTAATAAACAATCCACCAGTTTTAAAAAATAGATTTAGATATATTTAAATTAATATAAAATTTAAGTTTAAATCAATATTTGTCATAAACTTTTAATATTAATATTTTAAGAAAATGTGAAAAAATATATATAAATACTATAACAATTTCAGGAAAGCCCTCATTATTGGTAGTTTTTAATTATATAGCTTTTCCAATGTCCGACAAAGCATATGAGCTAAATGTATTTTTCTTATTTTTAATTTAATCTCTCTTTTTATTAGTCTATTCTTGCTATAGGAATTAACGTGTTTTTTTTTATGATAGGTACTATTTCACTAAACATACTATTTATTCTATCAGGTAAGATTTTTTCTTTCAAATTAGCTGTAACATTTATTTTTTCTATTTCTCAATTCGTAATAAATTTAATTAGAGCCCACTTAAGCTAATATCATTTTATTATGATTTAAAAATAAATAACAAAATAAACTCAATAAATTTGTTTCATTCATTTATGTAGATGAAATTACAGTATACAACTAAATAATAGTAAGAAGAAAATATGTGTTAAATAATTTTTAAACTCTAATAAGCCATGTTGGTTTTCTTGAGTCTAGAGTTATCAAGTAATTATCTGATTAGATATTTCTCTTTGGTAGATAAAGGTATAAAATAATAAAATTTAAATATTATTATCTGATTAAATATTATTTATAGATAAATTTATTATTTAAATATATTTATGAATTAAAGTTTATCAATATTTAAATAAAAAATCAATCATATATAATATTATATTACAATATACAAGAATACATTATACGATGCTATGTATGCAATCTATTTTAATGATACATAAGATAATTTTAAATATATAACCAAATAAGCATTTTTGCATAATCACTTATATGTACAATCTATACATAAGATAAATATTTAATTTTAATTATTTACCAAATAATTTTAAAATTTTAAAAATTAAGTTTAACAAATATTTCAGTTTTATATAAACTTTAACTTAATTTAAATCACAAAAAATCACAACCAACTCTTATCATCAATATATATCAAATCCACAATTTAAATGCTAACTTTTAAATATTAAATATTTTTTGATTAAATCATTATAGTTTTACTAACTTTTGACTTTTCCTATGTATATTACTTTAGACATTTGGATTAATTATATGTAAAGCATACAAATTAAATATAATTTAGATATATTTCTTTTAAAATAAAATTTTCCAATAATATGCATATATCTCTTTTAAATTTGAAAAATTCAATATCTTCATAGATTTCCTCATAATCTTTTAATATTTGGTTTTTTTTTTAAATTCAAACAAATTAAAATAACTTATTATATCCTTTATACTTTCAAAATCTTTTAATATTTCGTTAATTTAACTTGCATTGATTACAGGTGAAATATTAAGTATGTATTTCCACATCTAATAATCCCGTAAGTATATTATTTTTATTTAAATTTTTTTAATGCAAATTTCTTAATATTTTTTAATGGTTTGATCAATATTACAATTAAATTAAGGTATGTCAACTCTTTTTTGAGTTAATTTTATTTTCTAACATTATTGTTTATTTTTAACTCTTTTTTTATTTGCTTCACATTTTCTAATTATTTTCATTACTTTTTTTTTTATCAAGATTACAATTTTCAAACACTAAAACAAAATTTGAAGGTATATTTTTTTTTTTGTTATGGCAAGAAAAAATCATTGAATAAAGAAATTGGTTTTATATCATTTGTAGATAATATTTTTGTATTTCATTTTTAGATTTTTTATAATATGTATTGAATTTAACTTTGTGAAAATCTTGCTCTATGCAAAGAGCCTACTTAGGTGCCCAATAATTGGTTAGTCATTAATCCTACTACTTATTTTTTGAACATATGAAACTTCTCAATGATAGTTTTTAACATGCAAGGTTATGTTTATTATAATATTTTATTAAATGAAAAATGGGAAACAAAAATAAAATAAAGAGAATAATTATTATTATTGCTACTATATTTAAATTTTTAAATGTTTATTTTTTTAAATTTTATATTAACACATTTTTCTCAAGTAAAAAAAGTGATAACATAAATTGTACATATGAATATTAAGTCACAAAATATTATTTTTCGTAAAGGTAATTATATTAAGTTTTGCTTAGTTAATAAATATTTTTCAATTCAAGAATTTCTAAATTATTTTTTATTGTTTTGTAACTTAAGTAGGTTTTTATATATTTTTGTAACTTAAGTAGGTCTTTTACATTAATTATTGGTTTTGGAATCACATAGATTTAAAAGTGAGAATCAACTATATTCCAAGGAAATTTCTTTTGGATCCAAAGTAATTTTTTTATCTATTGGTTAC